AAAGTTTTCAGATGATACAAAATCATTTAAGGTAGTTAAGTCTGAAGCTGACTGAAGAATTCCATGAGGATCTTTCAAAACTGGGTGACTGGGCAACAAAATAGCAAATAAAAATGATCGTTGAGAAATACAAAGTATGCTAATTTGAATAGCAGGTTTAAAGTGGACAAGAAGAAATACTTTGAAAACAATACATAGGTAAAAATCTCTCTATTTCTGAGATTCCCTTGTTTATGCATTCAAGGGTTGAATTAGCCCTTGGACCTTAGCATCACTCTGGAAACTCAAGCTGAGCCTTGGACTATCAGATCGCAACCAACACTTGGGTGTAATTTAATTAGCCATTAGAATGGTCTGAGCTACAAAATGGTAACTGTAAGAACATTTGAGAGAGAGAGAGAGAGAGAGATAGCTAGATCTAAAATCCCATTTAATGAGTTAATCGGTTAAATGTTAAGTTTCACTGATTAAATGAGGTGGGCGGAGGGGGACGGGACTGTTCAGCCTGGGGGTGGGTGTGTGTGAGTGAGTGAGTGAGAGAGAGAGAAAATGCGAATGTTGTATTTTCAGCAAATGTGGTGTATTGCCCACTCCCCTGAAAAAGATCTTACATGCTTCTTATAAGGATAACACTACAGACTGGTCAGCCTCACCTCAGTACCTGGAAAAATCATGTAGCAAGTCCTCATGGAATTTATTTTGAAATGATTGGAGGAGAGAAAGGTAATCAGGAACAGTCAATATGGATTCACCAAGAGCAAGTCATGCCTGTCCAGTCTGATTTATGATGAGATAACTGGCTCTGTGGATATGGGGAAAGTGGTGGACGTGATGTACCTTGACTTGAACAAAGCTTTTTATATGTTTTTGCCAGAAAATTAAGGAAATATAGATTAGATGATTGGACTATAAAGCTGCAGCCCCTGGAAAGGACGGGGCTGGGGACTAGCCTCCCCCCAGAGTCTTCTTGGGCTGGAGCGCTCATGGCTTCTAGACCCGCTGCTACCACATAGCCTGGCAGCCACCCAGGGTTGCTGTGGCTATTTAAAAGGCACATGGCTCTGGCCTCTGCCAGGGTAGCGCCACAACTGTGAGTTATGAGCTATTTAGGATCCTGCAGTCTGAGCCATTGCCTGGAAATTTGGCGGCAGGATATAAATAGAAAATGGCCAGATGCAGTCCGTAGGCCAGATCTAAGTGTTAGGCGGGCCGGATCTAGCCCCCGGGCTGCATTTTGCCCAGCTCTGACTTAGTAGGAGAGACTGAGGGAACTGAGCTCATTTAATCTGCAGAAGAGAAGAATGAGGGGAGACTTGATAGCAACCTTCAGCTCCCTGAAGGGAGATGTCATGGGTTCAGTCACAGAGATCCCCTTGAGAATATTGCCTGATTGGGCTGAAGAGCCCCCTGAGTACATTTAGCTGCCCTCTGAAGTGCCCTACCACCCTGCCCTGCTGAGCCAGAGCCTTTGATCTGCTCCAGCAATGGCACAGAGTTGGAGTCACAGCCCAGAAACATAGACACTGAGATGCACTCAGCTCTGGGAAAGCTCAGTCAAAGGACTTAAAATAGCCCCCAGGTGCACAGCCCCATGGGATCAAACCATAAATCTGTTTCTATATGCATAAAGTTTAAGCAGAGCAAGCTCAGTAGTTCGCCCTCTTTATCAGTGAAAGAGTCACAGCTGTTTCCTTGGTGGCAATAGCTATGCATAAGTTATTTACACTGGGTTTATTAATACATAAAAGTGGTTTTTATTAAGTATAAAAAGTAAGATTTAACTGTTGGCAAGTGATAATAGATCCAAGTAAGTTACTAAGCAAAACAAAGCACATCAGCTAAGTCTAATACACTTGAGAAACTTGTTACATTCAATTTCTTACCCTAACATTAGTTCTAATTTTGTTTTCTCACAAGCTAGGTAGCCTCCCAGCTTAGGCCTGATCCTTCCTCCTGTTCAGTCTTTGATGTTTCTTGGAAAGGGCAGAGCCAGGACATTTCCATGCTCCCCTGCCCACAGACCCTGATTGGGATGGGGAAGTCTGTGAAGTTGTTGTTCCAGCCTTTCCTAGAGAGAGCTGCCAGCTGTTCCCTCTAGGCACCCACCTTCTGGCAGAGGATACTTCTCACACTCCCCTTGCCTTCAGGTCAATCAGGGCCTGGCAGTGGGGGAGTGCATGAAGTCTTTCACTCCCTACCCCCTGCCCTGCAAGGGGTGCACGGTTCTTAGTGAACCGCCAGCTGTTTAGCTGGTGCTTCACTCTAAGCCCTGTGCGCCCCTGGTAGGAGAGGAGGCCCTGATTGACCTGGGGACAAGGGAGCAGGAGGGTGTCCACAAGCTGGATCAACTCACTTGGTGGGTCAGATCCAGACTGTGGAGGCTCTCTTGCCCACCCTTGAGCTAGGTTATTGCCAGTGGCTGAAGATGGAAGAACAAGGAGCAATGATCCCTACTTGAAGTGGATGGTGGTCGAGCTTGGATATTAGGAAAAACTATTTCACTTGAAGGGTAGTGAAGCACTATAATTGGTTATCTAGGGAAGTGGTGGAATCTCCATCCTTAGAGGTTTTTAAGGCCCGGTCTGGCAAAGCCCTGGCTGGGATAATTTAGTTGGGACTGGTCCTGCTTGGAGCAGGGGGTTGGACTAGATGACCTCCTGAGGTCTCTTCCAACCATAATATTCTATGATTCTTTGAAAAGGCGGAGCTTTTAAATAACTAGATGAGGTTCATTTGTATTGGGGACAGGGGCAGTGCGCAAAGCCTCTCCTCCCCCTCCTCCTGGGCTCACAGCATTTAGAGAGCTGGTCTGAGCCACATGCGTGGGTGGGGACAGGCAAAGAACCTGCCTGAGGCTCCTGTGGGCCAGATCTGGTGGCTGCATCCTACACATAGGCCATATTTTGTCCCCCTGTTCAATACACTGGATCAACCTTGTCCATGTGCTTGTTGACCCTCTCAAAGAATTCTAGTAGATTAGTGAAGCATTACTTTCCCTTTACAAATTATGTGGTTTTTTTCCTCAACATATCGTGTTCATTTATGTCTGATCATTCTGTTCTTGAGTACATTTTCAACCAGTTTGCTGGAACTGAAGTTAGGTTTACATAAGACTGGCCAGAGTGGGTCAGACCAAAGGTTCATCTAGCCCAGTATCCTGTCTGCTGACAGTGGCCAATACCAGATGCCCCAGAGGGAGGGAATACAACAGGTAACCATCACATGATGCCTCTCCTGTCATCCATTTCCAGACAAACAGAGGCTAGGGACACCATTCCTACCCATCCTGGCTGATAGCCAGGGCTCAACAAATAATGCAATCTACTCGCCCGTGGTGAGTAGATTGCAACCCGGAAGAGCCGGGTTCCAGCGATCTGCGCATGCGCAGATCGCTGGACAGTGCATCTGGCGAGCGAGGCTAGCCGCAGTTCAGCGAGCCCTGCTGATAGCCATTGATGGACTTAAACTCCGTGAATCTGTCTAGCTTTTTTCTGGCCTGTAATTGCCAGGAGTACTTCCAGAGCTGTTTTAAAACACCAGCATAGCATTAGTTATCCTCCAGTCATCTGGTACAGAGGCTAATGTAAAAGCAATAGGCTGCCTACCATTGTAGATGTGCAATTTCATATTTGAATTCTTTTCAGAATTCTTGGGTGACTGCCATCTGGTCTTAGTCACTTATTACTGTTTAATTTATCAGTTTGTTCCAAAACCATCTCTATTGATACTTAAATTTACCACTTAAAAAGAATGGCTGAGGTGTGAGGCAGTCCCACATCCTCTGAAGTAAAGACCTATGAAAGAAATTCATTTAGCATCTCTATAGCTACTTTCAGTGCTCCTTTAGCATCTCCGTCATCAAGAGGCTCCACTGATTGTCAGGCTTCCTACTTCTGATATATTTAAATGCTTTTTTGCTATTATTTTTTGTATCTCTTGCCAGTTCTGGTTCTCCAAATTATTTTTTGGTCTGCCTAATGCTTTTATTCTTGTCTTGCCATGGTAAGATTTTCTATTTTCCTCAGTGGAATCTGATTTTCAGTTTTTAAAGGATGTAATCCCACCTTAGTTATAACAAGTGTAACTAATACTTGAAATAGGAAAGATATGGCAATTTCCTGCAATATCCTTGGAAAAAAATCTTACAGAATTAATACATATTTGGAGTCCATTTTGTTAAATGGGAGGTGTGAACTTCAAAAGACTACATGAACAGTGGACCATGGAGTTTATGGATGGTTTAGACAAATAGCATAAAATGGTTTGCCACCCTAGGGAATATCTGTAGATAGGTGAGAGCAAATTTTCCAACTCTGGTTATGTGAAAGCCCATCTTTTTGTAGTTGCATCCTGAGGAGGGAAGTATTTTCTCTTGATAATCTGTTTCTGGAATCTTAAGATCAAAGGCCCAAGCTGTAAAAGGAAACATGAACCTATGCATAGGTGAGCTTATTCTGAACTAAGGCTGTTTTGTTTACTAACTTGTAACCACAGAAAACTGTTTGTTGAAGTCTGGAGGTGATCTCTGATAAACTTATTAGCATGTGTTTAGGTTCTGTTCTTGTCTTTAACATGTTTTCACAATAATGCTTCCCACCTTAATAATAAATGTGTTTGCTTATAAAGAGCTATGTGGTAACTCATAACTGCTGGCAATTATATTATTCCTAGCCTTCAGAAAGAAATCAAAGCACAGTTGTTGGCTATTTTGGCAGTTGACTTGCTGGGAATATCAGTGTAGAAAGGGAACTGTGTAACCTGGAAAAAGCTCAGTCATGAACAGTCATGAACAAAAGGAATGCAGGCTTCTATCCAAGATAGGTTACAACTGAGGAGTCTGGAGCTTGTTGCTGTGCTCATGAGGGACCATATACAGGTGCAGTTGCTCTGACTTGTCATATGAACTCTTTCAGAATTCATTCTTTTTCTGTGAAAAGCATCACAGAACAAAAGTGTGTGATATTTAATGCTGTTAGAAAAAACAATTTCTTTTTTTGCAGAAAAGCCTGCCATTGCTCCACCTGTCTTTGTGTTTCAGAAGGATAAAGCACAGAAGGTAAGGAGCTATCATTGTGTATGTACTCATTGTACGGCATACTGTCATCCTGATTCATATTTTAGTGGCAGCAATAATTGGTATAAGGTGTAACTCTTCTTAAAGTTTAGGGTAGATAGGTTGTTGTCATTAGGATTTCAAGGAAAAAATTCATTCAAGGAAAAAATGTGGGAAGACAGATTGTAGATTAGTGGGAGGGAAACAGAAAAGACAGACGGTGTGGGAAATTTAGAGCAATCTCAAAGCTGTATTCTAAGCAGAGATGGATGGAGAAAAAGGGACAGACCTTATTACAAATAGAAATTTGAGCAAGAAAAGAGAATAACAAAATGAAAAGGAAAGCTAAAAGGAAAAAAATGGTTCACATTAGTGCCTTTTAATTTTACGTTACATACAGCTACTGATTGATTCCTTGATTAATTGCTTATCCTTAAATTTAAGTTTGGTGAAATTGAAAAATAATGCTCTTGGCTGTGTAACTCAGTAACTTCAGAGCATTTTGTATTTTAAATGCACTTTAAAGTCCTTTTATTTGGTGATACCCAGTTTTTTGTCCAATATGTAGTATCTATGATGCATTAAGCAGGGTTAAAACAGAAAAGCTTTCGTTGTTCTAGTTAGTTGTTACTCAAATATTTTATCAAAACGTGGAGCCAACTATCACATTACTGTTTTGAATCAAGGAAAACTTACCAAATTATATGGGAAATGTTAAGTTTCAGTCCTTTTCCAACCATAAATGACGCTCCTGATGGAAATGTAAGCAGAGACACCATTGAAAATTACTCCTAAAAGTGCTTCATTCAGTCAGGGTTGAAGCATGTTGACACAGGGTTTGGTGGGAGAAGTTTGCATTTCTCTGTTGCCAGTACTGTATTTGTTTTGTAATTAGAGAGAGACCTTTTGTCACCGGGATTGACAGCTTGGTTCTGTTTAAAGTAGTTCCATTTTATCCAGAGTTCTGGGATTGTATTTTAAAGTCTTCAACTCTACTGTTATATTTCAATATTCATGTTTTCCAATCAAATTAATGTTAATTATTTCCCAATTTAGTTATAGCTATCTAACTTCTCATTTTATGTATAATCTGTAAAAGCTCCTAGATTATTAAGACCTGAATAGTGATCCATGTCTTAATATGTAACATTCCTTAAATTGTGGTAAAATCACAGATTTGACCTTTGCCACAGTTTTCCTGCTCAAGGAACATGAGTTAAGGATTAACTCTATTACTTAGGGACAACTAAATTAGTTATGTGTAGCCAAAGTATAGATGATTCAAGTTGCATGCCAGTAATTTCTTCAAATTATAGGTAGATCAATTTTATCTACCTTCTATTCATTATTATTTTTAGAAGTGTCTGTCAGTTTTCTGATACCTCCAGAAGTTTGAATGGTTTTGGGAGGGAGGATTGGTGATGGTGACTTCTCCCATTTTATTTTCCATCTGTAAAATAATTACAGCTACTTAATGGCATAGTAAATGCTAGTGAATAGATTAACATATGCAAAAACTTGGACTTACTGATTTATACAAGTTATTAAATATTAGTGTAGGCTTTATATATCTCAAATGTTAAATGGCCAAAATATATGTAAGTTAAATTTAAAACAGCCATGAAAGTCTCCAGACTTTGTTGGAATCTAAGAGCCAAATCCCAAAACTCATAAAGGCAGCATTTTTAGCTGACATGATTGCGATTTTAGTTAGAACACCATTGTCATTGAGTGTCAGACGACAGCATTTGCCATGAACTTAGTTTGCTTCCCTATGAAATGCCGTGGTTAAATGGATTTCCTGATTTCATGCCAAACCCTGCAATTCGTAATTGATTACTCGGATAAGTTTGATGGGAATTTTTCCTGTGTGCATGTCTTTGGGGGAGAGGCCTGAACAATGTGGCCTTATTTTTAAGTGTACTGGAAAAATGTATAAAAGCAGTTGGCGGAACACGTGGTTTTAGAATATAAATTATTATTTTCCTTGAGCAAAATGTGTAGTTTAAACATCTGTTAGCCTTGCAGTCCTGGTCAAGTTGACCTTTGTCAAGCACTATACAAAGTGCTTCATTTCTTCAGTTACTTGAGCAGGCTGTCCAGCAAATATCAGTGGGAGAAGAGGAAAAAGGTAGCCAATGAAGGTATGCCCCTCATGTGACAGTCTAACGCGTCTGGGCCATCACTGTTCATTAATAGATACTTAGAATTGTGGAGAAGTCAGGTACTACAGTTTACTGCAGAAAATAAAACTTGACTTTTCAAGGTCTCTTGTTGTAGCTGGACTCTGTACCTTCAGCTGTCTTTTCTCTCCATCAATGTTCCCTCTAATCTTTTTCATCCATGTAGAGAATAAATGTTTTATGTGCACCGAGGCATGTACAAATGTACGCCACTAGTAGAAACCAAAAAACCTAGTTGTGGACATTCTGCTAATCAGCTGGGCAGCACTGGAATCTCTCCTGAGTGGCTGGCTGCAAAAGTGCAAAGTTTGCAGGGAACGCTGCTCTCCATTGCTAACACATAGGTGGACTTGGAAGGGTTTCCTTTAAATAGTAAATGTTGGTAATGTGGATTTCAGCTTACAGGCTGAAATTGACGAAAAAATATTGCTCAGTAATAGTGGGAGTGCTGCCTTCCCTTCCAGACTCCCCTTGCATCTATAGAGATGGGATGTTGCTGACCCTGCAGCAGTGCAGAGAACCCTCATGGACCTGCCCCCCCTCAGCTGTGACAGTAGGCTGCACTCATCAATCAGATCAAGGGAGCCTAGCACCCCAGAGCTAGGGGCTCATCTTTGTCCTTGCATTCCTGGTCGGGGAATTGCATTCTGTCTTGTCTCCATAAGTCATGTTTCCTCATGCATCCTTGCACCCACAGAGCTTGGGTGGCACAGGCACACAGCTGTATTGGGGAATACTTCCTGCTTCACCCTTGTGGCCCTGCTCTCGCTCACTTAGTAGCCAGGAGTGTGGGAGCCATCTCTGGGCAGGAACTGTTCAGCAGCATCCCACAAATGGGGGCTTGCCCTCCCAGCTGGTGGGGACACTCCGCTCTCTTAATTTTCAGCAACTGTAAAAACTTAGAAATAAAAACAATTCCTAAGTGAAGATCAGTATTAATCATTCCTGATTGTAGGAACCACTATTTCCAGTAATGCTCACTTGGGGCTTGTTCTTTTGAGGTGCCCTAAAACCCATGGTTCCCAGTGAAGATAATAGGTACTGAATGCGGAAAACCTGTTATCATTGTAACTGAGTAGCCGCTACATTTTTTAGCAGTTATACACTGGCTTCCTGGGAGTGGAGGCCATCAGACAGTGTGCTCCCAGCTGCTGGCCCCACTACTGGGGAGCCAGCTGCCACTCTGAATTGCAAACTCTCATACAGTCAGCAGTGCAGAGCAGCAGCTGGCTCCCCAGGAGCTGATGTATGCTGGGAGTCAGCTCTGTGGGTGTACTGGCTCCAGCCTACTGCCCCATATTGTAATGTAAAAAATGTATTTAAAAATCTACTAGCTAGAGGAGTTGCTGTGTTAAAGGCAGACAAGCAATTTAGAAAAGAATGGTGCATTAGAGAAGCGACAACGGGGTGGGGGATCAAAGTACAGCCGCATTGTCAGAAGGTAGTTCCCTTTTCCTGGAAGTGTGAGAGTACTGGGATTTCTAGCAGCTCATTTTCCTGGGACTCTACTTGTGGGATCCATTTGTTCATGATGATTTCTGTCCACATGGCAACTATAAGGAGAATGCATCTGTGCTCTTTTGTGCATATGCTTTTTCTCCCTCACCTATCTGTAGAACCTCTTGATTTTTGGGGCAAGGCTGTGAGATCTACAGCTCTACTGCTTTCCAACTGCCTGGCAGTTACAAGGAAAGAAGTTTTTGCGTCTTCCTGTCTGCTAGCTGGTGTGCGTGGTTTTTGGATGAGGTGAGAATAATGGAGGCCCTCCTTCTCTCCATCTATCAGTGAGTGAGCCTTTGCTTTTGGGGGTCTTCTTTCCAGTGACTTTCTTCAGCTGCTCCATGTTTTCCCAAGAAGAAGCAGTATGAAATGAAATATTAAACTGATCACAAATGTCATTTCAATTTCACTCTTTTAATGTTTGGAAAAGTTATTAATAGTCTTGGCAGAATTTGTATATTTTTAAATAATTTTTACTGAATATTTTAAAGCATTTTTTATCAATTTGAAATTTCAGTTAACTGAAATTATGGAGGCATCAGGCAATGGAAAGGTCAGGCAATTGAATGACAATACATGTTAAGAGTCAAAATTAAAGCTCTATAACCTCTAGAACACAAATTGTATATTTTTTGACATGTAACATTGATGAAAGTCAATATCCTTAAGCTCAAATAGCAGTTTTCATTCTTTGTCTATCTGTAAACTTCAATTATTATCAATGGAGATATTTTCTTTTCCATGTATATGGCAAAATCATCTGCTGACACTCATTGATAAAAATCTCATCTTTCCCAGCCTAGTTAGGAATCTCAGGAGCTACTTGCATACTCAGAAGCACAACATTGCAAAAGTTTCTATAAATTCATAAATGTTATGGTCAGAAAGAACCATTGCGATTATCTGTATAACATATGGCATATTGGACTGTCACTAGTAATGTTTGCATCAAGTCCCATAACTTTTGACTCAACTAGAGCATATTTTTAGGAAGACAATCACTCTTCATTTAGGGATTTTAAGTGATAGAAAATCCACCACATACTTAAGCAAGTTGTTCCAATGGCTGATTGCTTTCATTTGTTAAAATTTTCCTCATTTGTAGTTTGAATTGGTCTAGCTTCAGATTCCAGCCACTGAATCTTGTTATGCCTCTTTGAGCTAGATTAAAGAGGCCCTGTGATAATTGAAGTCTTTTCACCATGTAGTACTTACTGCCATGATCGAGTCACTCTTAACCTTTTCTAGAATGAACTAAATAGAACTTCTTTTGTCTCGAACAGTAAGGCAAGTTTTTCAGACATCAAATCATTCTTATAA